GTATTTCTCTCCTTGGGTATGTTTATGAGAAATTGGGTTGTACTGAGAGATTCTGCCACCTTGAGAATTTTTCCAAAGTTATGTGCCTTTATTGGCACTTTGCTCAAAGCACTGATGGCTTCTTTTTGCCCACAGAATAAAGCCTGCTATACTCCTCAGATATTTTAGTATATTCATAGTCTGGTCCCTGCTTCTTTTTATGGCTTCTTAAGCCATCCTCCTTTACCTCCCAAAGCATAGGTTCCAACCACACAGGTCTACTGTTCACTGCCTACACAGACAGTGATTAAGTTTTGATACATGAGTTTTTCTCCATCCCCACCTCCCCTCACAATAGTCAGGTATGATTGTGACTAAAATCGGTCACTGCTCTGGGACCCTGAGCACATTTGTCCCAGAGAGGCCTTGGGTAATGCTTTGTCTTTAATAAGTTCCTCCAGGATCTAGACTTCTTTGTGATTTAGGGCCCTTTGGCCCAGGGATGTGCAAAATTGTAGATATGAGAAGGGATTTTGCAAACGCAGGTGATGACCACAGAGGCAGTTACTTCACATGTCCTAGTGAGTAAAGGGGAGCAGGATCTCAGGTCAGCGTCCTGGAGTCTCCCTCAGACACACTGGGTAAGTTGCAAAGAGGGTCAACGAGCTGGTCTTTTAGGATCTTTCCCACCTGAGGGTCTTGATTTCCCTGGTTGTATGATGTTCTGCAGAAGCTTTTCAGGTTTCATAAACTTCCACTTCATGTCTTTGCCTCCCACAATTTCTCCACATTTGAGAAATATTTTAATAATGTTCACCAGTTACAATCCTTTTATTAGTGACAGCATTTATCAGTATTACTTACTATATAATGTATTTCACAAAGTGCATAATTTCAACAAAATAACAGCTCTTGAGATAGGCATTAATGCAACAGTTCTGAACCCTTGTTTTATTTTAGAATTATCTTGGAGATTTAAAACCTTTGTACAGACTTCCTCTTAAAGATTGTGATAAAATGTACCTGAGAGATCCAGTAACCTTTATTTTTAAAAGCATCATGTGTCCTTGCTACTCACTGTGTAGTCCATGGACTATACCATGGGCATTACCTGGGTGCTAATTTACAATGTAGACGAGGGCCTGCTGAGTCAGAAACAGTGTTAAACCAGAACTTCAAGGTGATTTGCATGTACATTACATTTTAGAAGCACTGCCCTAGGTGATTCTTAACTGCAGTCCAGACTGAGAACTCCTGACTTAACAGGTGAAGAAGGTGAGAGCCTCACTGCATTATCAGTGCCTGCATCCTTAAGTGCTATCTCTGGCTTGTGATCTCAGTCATACTCTTGACACAAGAGTCAGGTCCCACTTTTTTTCTTTTTTACCAGGGAAATGAAATTCAGAGCAACCAGATAAATCATGTTTTCCCTAGATATTTCTTCCCACTGATGCCAGTACCTAAGTCCATGTGTAAAATCTGTTGGTGTGGATCAAGCTGTACCAAGGGGTGAAAATCCCAGCAGTTGGATTCAGTTATGTTTTTAATGCAGGAGATTCCCACTTCTCTTAATGCTCCCGTGTGCTTTGTCAGCTTTGAGATACACTGAGGAGTATTAGGGCTCTCTGGAGAAACAATAGGGGATTGTATCTATATTGAGAACTCTATCTATCTACATACCTGCATGTATCTCTATTATCGCTATCATTTGTATTAGTGAAATTGTAGTGTGTTTTAGATACCATAACATGTTTTGTGGGGACAAAATTGTATCCATAAATTTTGGGGGAAAAAAAGTCAATGTTAGTGCTAAGTGGTTGAGGCTAGTGAGTTCTTGTTCTGTGAGGATTTAGTAGAAGTAGTGATTCTAACTTGAAAAGAGTTTTGTTGCTTTTAAAGTTGGAGGAATCATGTCTCAGCCTGAAGCACAACCAATATTTATGAAACAGCACCTACATCCAGGCACTGTGCCAGGTGCTGGTTCTGCTGCAGTTGTGAAGGCAGACATGGCCTCTCCTACATGGAAATTATGATCTGGTAGGGAAGACTGCTATAAAGAAATAATCTCATTGGCATGGAGTGCTGTGGGACAAGCACAGGACGCTTGGAAACATAGCAGTGCATTCCCATCGGGTCTGGGGAGACAGGGAAGGTTTGCTAGGTAGGCGACATGTAATATATGTGAAGGGTAAACAGAGGCAAGCCACTTGAAAAGGGAGCAGAGGAAGAAAATGCTAGCTGGGAGGGATAGTGCAGGTGCAAAATGCCAGAGCAGGATTGTTGCATTTAAGTCCAGCTCTGCTGGAGAGTGGAATGTGAGTGTAGTTGTGGGGCCAGGTGAAGCTATAGAGCTAGGCAAAGGTCAGGTCATGTATCACTTTTTGGAAGGAATCTGCCTTTAAGGAATTTGCCACTATGTTAAGATCGATGAGAATCCATGAAGACTTTATGGAGAATGGTCTTCAGTTCTTCATCTCAGAATGCCTAGTGTGATGAAGAATATTGACATAAAGGGTATTCAAACATGGAAGCAGGGACGTGAAATAAGTTGTCCCAACAGTGCAGACAAGATACGATGTCAGCCTTATCTAAGGCAGTGACAATGTAGATAGAGTGGATGAATGGGAAAGACAGTTAATTTATAGATCTTGTTGATGGATTGTATGTTGATTAGAGAAAGGAGGGAATGAAAGAAAACTCCCAGGTTTTTGACTGCAGCACCTGGAACTCTTTTTTTCTGACATACGGGAGATTAGAGGAGGAGGGAATTGAGAGAGGAGCAGGAGAGATCAAGAGTTTCTTTTGAGATCTGTTTAGCTGAAAATGTATGTGGTACATCCAAACAAAGATAATCATTAAGCAATTGAGTATACTCTTTTATAGGTTAGAGACACTGGGACCCCTGGAGGCCAGTCTCTCTGCAGTAACAGCTCCAGCTCCAAGGAGGAGACTCAGTGGCAGGGACTTTGGGTGACTGCAGCAGCTGTGTTCAGCTTTGGTGAAGACTGTGGGGTCCTTGGTAGCAAAGTCTGCAGATGTCCACAGTGTGATGAGGTTGCTGGTGTTCTCATGCTCTCCTTTTCCCCATGGGGTAAAATCCCTCCAAGGACATCCCTCTTGGTGACCATTTTGGAGGCTAGGAAGTTGAAGACCGAAGCTCCAGCAGGTTCAGTGTCTAGTGAGGACCTCTTCCTGGTTCATTTCATAGATGCCCATCTTCTTGCTGTGGCCTCACATAGCAGAAGGGGTGAGGGAGCTCTCTGGGGTCTCTTTTATAAAAGGGCACTAATCCCTTCATGGGGGCTCCACCCTCATGACCTAATCACCTACCAAAGGCTCCACCTTGATACCACCTTTCTGGGGAGTAGGATTTTAACATATGAATTTGGGAGGGGGACACATTCAGTCCATAAAGGTGGTGCTACCTTTCCCACAAAATTTTAAACTGGTTTCAAGGTGTAAAGATCTTTGACTACCAAGATAATGTGCACTTAGGCTGAAAATCCATATAAAGTAAAGTGACTCATCTACTTCGGAAAACAATTTGGCATCACCTTATTGTTTGAATATTCAAATACCTCCTGACCCAGCAATTCCACTCCTAAGTGTGCACCAAAGAGAAACTCTTGCAAATATGCACCAGAAGACTGAACAAGAATATTTAAGGTAATGGTGTCTATATAGCAGAAAACAAAATGTTGCCCATAAGCAAGAAGAACAAAAACAGATAAATCAGAGATGCTGAGTACTGATGGCCTTTCTTCAAAAACTGAATATAGCCGCATGTGAAGCTGGGTCTAAATCTAGACTTCCCAGTGACATGATGTACTTCCCTTTTTGTTTAAACTAAATTGAGTTGGGATTCTCTTTCTTCCAAGTAAAGGAGTTCCTATTACACCACAAAAAGTCTAATCAAAATCTCAAAAATTAGGTCTTGACATATTCAATAATAAAACACCAAAGTGGTCCCCTGAATGCCAGAATATGCTTCGATGACAAGTTTCAAGATAGAGCTGATTTAAAAAGAAGGAGATATAAACACACACACACTAAGTCCGAAGAAGCCAGAATTAAATTACCTGGAGGGGAACATCTCTGCTGCTGACTTTCCAAATTCTTACTTTTACAAATAGAGGGAAGAGGTTTTAAGGGAAATAAATGGAAAAGTGTAAAGAAAGATGAAGGAACAAGACAATAAAAGAGGCAAGTGTTCCCGAGAGAGAAATGGTCAGTTACTGAAACTGAGCTCAGGAGGAAAAGGGAGGATTGCCCAGGCTTTCCCTGAAGGTGAGTAGAGGTAGTAGGGAAGGAAAACAGGGTGAATTCGATTTTCATTCCGGGAAGTGCTACCAAGAGGAGATAGTGTGCTTTCTGTATGTTGCTACCTTCGAAGTGTGTAGCAACAGTGAACTTCTGTAGTCATCAAACCATAAGAAAAGAGAACAAAAAGGAAAAAAAAAACCTACAAAAGATCGCTTTGGCAGTTTGGGGTCTTTTATGGTTCCATCTAATTTTGGAATTGTTTGTTCTAGTTCTGTGAAAAACGTTGTGAGTACTTTGACAGGGGTTGCATGGATCTGCAGATTGCTTTGGGTAGTACAGCCATTTTGATCATGTTGATTCTTCCAATCCAAGGGCACAAGATATGTTTCTATTTCTTTGTATCATCTTCAATTTCCCTCATCAATGTTTTAGTTTTCAGAGTATATGTAACCTTCTGGGTTAAGTTTATTTCTAGGTATTTTGTTCTTTTTGATGCATTGGAAATGTTTGTGCCAGTTATTAAATTCTGGCTTTTGAACTGGAAAAAAAAAGTGGATGAAGGGCTGCAAATGGCAAAATAGTCTTCTTTCTTATGGGTGAGTTGTATTCCATTACATATATATGCTGCATCTTCTTTATCCATTCATCTATTGATGTGCACTTACGATGCTTCCATATCTTGACAATTATAAATAATGTTGCTGTTAATAGCCAGGTGTATGTATATTTTTGAATTCTTATTTTGTGGTTGGCTTTATTCCTTTGATAACTATGTAAGTTAAAAAAGCTAAAGCTCTAAACGTTCTTAGAAACAATGAATAATATATATATGTAGATTTTTAAAAATATGCAGTATATTGTGTATATGTATCTATATGCAATATGTTGTATATGTACAGTCAATTGTAACAATTCCAAAAATAAATACATAAAGTTATTATAAAATATTGGCCAAAAAACACAATTCTACCTAATAAAACTGAAAACTGAAAATAAATAAATAAATAAACCATCCAACAGAGGTTAGTAAACTAGGTGTTGAAATTTGAGGAAGATTGATTGATCTTGCCCCAAATCCCAGAGGGAAAAAAAACCTTGCCACCCCAGCCATAGGTACCCTTGCTTCTAATCCCTGTTTCTCACTAGGTTCAGCATCCAGCATTAATTGGACCCATTCCTCCACGCTCAGCTGCATCACTTGACTGTCTTTCACACACTAGGAATCCAGATCTCTAACAAACACTGCACAGTAGAATTGCTCTATTTTGAGTGCACATACATATCCACAAAGACTGCCCTCATCATTTACTTCAAGTAATTTGCACGAATAATTTATCTTCTTCTCTCTACAGTAGTGATAGACAAGCAACTTATTAATGCATTTTTCTATTTCTCTTTCTAATTTGTCAAGGTCAGTCTTCTCTGCTTTAAAGCCAATTACTTCTTGTTTTTCTTCATTTAAACCAATAAAGAAATACCCCCTCAAGTATTTGCAAATGCAGAAACATACTGAGGGAGAATCTCTTTAATGCAATGTAACAACTTTTCTCTTGAGAAGTCTTTGATTTCAACATCTGTGGATTCAGTAAAGATGAGGTTTCTCTGTACCTGAGTTGCATCCTATTAAAAAAGTCAGCAGCCAAGGCCTTCATGTTACTTTCTTCTTGCTCACCAAAACAGAACATCTCTGAAGGTTATGTGTTAATCCCTTTGCAGTTTCATGCTTGTCTTGAGGAATTCCAGTGCAGCAGTAGCACTCATGATATTTACAGATGTTATATCTCTTTTGCACAAATTGGAGCTCAAGGAAGCAATCCTCAAATCAAAGATTTCTGGATTCCACAATTTGACAACAATCAGAAAATGTTTGTCTCACTGCATAAAGGCTAAGTATTTGTGAACAAATGAGACAATATTGGTAAAAGAATGTTTCAAATATAATCCTATTCCATCTTTTTTATAACTACAGTTTTCATTCTCAATTTTAGCCTTACTCTCTGCCCATCTAGAATTCAGCAAAGCAATCACAGATCATGAGATGTTTTCATTCTGCTTTTTTTCTCAGTTGACTATCTTTCATTTTCTTTATGTTCTTCTCCCCAAAAGTGACATTTCCCACAGATAGAACCAGCTCATTAGAGTCAGTGTCCGAAACAACACAGATGGTCATTTTCCCAGGAGTCATTCAATTTCCAAGCAGAAGTCCTTTTCTGTAAAACAGACAGAGGCATTTAAAACAGGACCTGAGCAGGAGAGACCACAAATTCTCTATTGTGAGGCAAACTCAACAAAATCCTTTATTTTGCTTTATCCTATATTCCACTGGATCCCATGGTAAGGATACAGATGTAAAGTAGCTTTTAGGGACCTATTTTGAGTTAAGACTATAATCATTTCTATTCCTGTGAAGTTTTCCATTTTTTTGCCATAGTTTTATATGATCCTCTTCTAATGGTTTTAATCTTGTTTTTACTTGTGTTTACATTTCCTTTCTAATTCCTAATACCACATAACTTGTTTCCTTCTTCTTTCCTTAAATAAGGCCCTGAAGGGAGTCTATCTATTATATAGGGGAGTTTTATATGTTACATTTTTTTTAATTTCAACTTTATCTTAATTATCTTCTTTTATTGGGACTCCTTCGGGAAAATTATCAGTTGAAGTCTAAAGACATCTAGCAATATGCCATTTTAATAAGTTTTCCTTTTAGCAAGGATGAAGTAGATTCATAAATTTTGGCCATTGATCTTAAGCAAGGTGGGCCAAGTCACTGTACCCTTTTTCTATCAGACATCCACAGATTTTCAATGAGGTAAAATTCTTATATACAAAAACATCTGCTTTAGTATAAGTATCCTTAATCCATTAACTCTGTCCCTTGAAGGTCAACTGGGATTACAGCTTTGCCTAGAGGCCTAGAGACAACTGAGAGTAGAGTCCATCACAGGTAGTAATCATGACACTAGGAAAAGACATTAAGGGATCTGAACATTTCTGTCCACAGCTGGACCAGTATCCTGCAGAGGCTCAGCTGTAGGCTGTGGATACCACTTCCGTCTCTATAAACTTCTGACCATATGTAAACACCTGTTACAGATTGAATGTGTCCCTCCAAAGTTCATATGTTGAAACCCTCCGCTCCTATGTGATGGTATTAGGAAGTGGGGCCTTTGGGAGGTAATAAGGATTAAATGAGGTCATAAGAGTCAAGCACTCATGAATAAGATTAGCGACCTTATAAGAATCTCAAGAGAGCTTGCTTCTCCCTGCTCTCCATCATTTGAAGATACAATGAAAAGCCACTTGCCTGCAACCAGAAGAGGACCTTTACTGGCACCTGACCACACTGGCACCTTGATCTTGGACTTCCCAGCCTCCAGAACTGTAAGAAATAAATTTCTGTTGCTTATAAGCCACCCAGTCTATGGTATTTTTATAATAGCAGCCAGAGCTGACTACGACAGCAATAATAACTTTGGGGCTCCAGACCATTTGGACATTTGGGGTTAAACAAAGAAAATCCACATATCAATCATGACCATGGCGTACAGAGGGAAAACAGCAACAGACATTCCACATAACGCTTTGCAAATTACAGGGCCTAGACTAAGTGTTCGGTAAATGTCACCATTCCAAATGCCCCAGAGTAGTCACCACTCCTCATGTGACTTAGGGCCTCTGTGCCTTTGCCCTCCTCCACTTCTGTCACCCGAAATGTCTTCTTATCCTTCCTAGAAGTCCCAGGTCTGTGCTCTCCTTGGGTCTCCCACAGAACTTTGTATCCATGCTGGGTACTAATCTCACCATGGATCTAAAGAAATTTTATAAACAGAGCACTGAAGTGTCCAGAGTGGTTGTTTTCAAACTATAAGAAATCAGGTGGGGGCTCCTAATCATTTAGGACACCAGGAGGAAAGGTCTGGGGCCTGCTTCCTGCTGTGGACTCCGAACCTCAGAGGGTACAGAGCACTCTTCATGCTCTGGAATGTCTTCCATGAAATTTTCTGAGTCCTGCCAGTGCCTGAGACCAGCCAGGGCCAGAAGTGTCGTCCTGGAAGGGTGCCCAAGCCTGGACAACACTGTTTGGGTCCAGGTCCCCATTTCTTCCATTTATAGTGCTCAATGGCCCTCTATCCAAGGAACCCTGGGACCATGCCAGCAAGGTGTCCTGGGACCTCATGGCTGGATCCTAGTTCCAAGAGAATAGCCTGGTGCTATAAATTGAATGTTTGTGTACTCCCAAAAATTCATATGTTGCAACCTAATCCCCAATGTGATGGTGTTTGGAGGTAGGGCCTTTGGGAGGTGATTAGGCCCTGAGGATGGAGCCATCATAAATAGGATTAGTATCCTTATAAAAAGAGTCCCTGGAGAGCTGCCTGAACCCTTCCACAATGTGAGGGCAGAAAAAAGACAGTCATCTATGAACTGAGAAGAGGACCTCACCAGATACCAAATCCACTGGCACCTTAATCTGGATTTTCCAGCCTCCATAACTGTAAGAAATAAACTGTCATTTATAAGCCAGCCAGTCTATGATATTTTATTATAACAGCATGAACAAACTAAGACACTTGTCAAGTGGATCACCTGACAAGCTGGAACAGTATTTCTTTCACAGGATAGAGACTGGATTGCCAGAATGATGCTAATGTGCTAACTTTAGTTGACTTAAATTGTCTACACTGGCAGGAGCCCCACAAAAAATACTCTGGGTAGAACTCACCATTGAAGTCATCTGGTCAGTGCTTTTCTTTGTTAGAAGGTTTTTGATTCAATCTCCTTACTAGTTATAGGTTGATTCAGATTTTCCATTTCTTCCTAATTCAGTCTTGGTAGGTTGTGTGTTTGTAGGAATTTGTCCATTTAATCTAGGTTATCCAATTTGCTGGTGTACCATGGTTCATAGTACTCTCTTATAATCCCTTTTATTTTTATAAAATTGGTATTCATGTCCCTTCTTTCATTTTTTATTTTAGGTTTTTTTCCTTCATCAATATAGGTAAAGGTTTGTCAATTTTGATTTAAAAAAATGTAGTCTCTGATTTTTTTCCTATTGTTTTTCTAGTCTCTATGTCATTTATTCTGCTCCACTCTTTATTATCTCCTTCCTTCTGCTAATTTTGAATTTTGCTTGTTCTTCTTTTTCTAGTTCAAGGTATAAAATTAGGTTGTTGATTTGAGATCTTTTTTCTTTTTTAATGTAGGCATTTACCACTATAAACTTCCCCATTAGTGTGCTTGTGTTGCACCCCTTACATTTTATTATGTTGTGTTTTTATTTTCATTTGTCTCAATATATTTTCTAATTTCCCTGATGATTTCTTGACTTCGTTCTTTTCCCTCAGGATTGATTTGGCAGTTCTGGGTCTTTTATGATGTCATGTAAATTTTAGGATTATTTGTTATAGTTCTGTGAAAAATGTCACAGTTATTTTCATAAGGATCACATTAAATCTGTAGATGGCTCTGGGTCATAGGGCCATTTTAACATTATTAATTCTTCCAATCCAAGAGCATGGGATATCTTTCCATTTCTTTGAATCATCTTCAATTTCCTTTATCAATATTTTATAGTTCTGGCATATAGGTCTTTTGCATATCTTCTTGGGTGAATGTTTGTTAAGATTTTTTTTTAGCTCTTTTTAAAATAGAGTTGTTTGTTTTCTTATTGTTGAGTTTTATGAGGGTTTTTTTTTTTGTAATTTTGGATAACAATACTTCATCAGATATATCTTTTGCAAATATCTTCTCCTAGTCTATGCCTTGTCTTCTCATTCTCTTGACATTTTCTTTTCAGAGCAGAAGTTTCAAATTTTAACAAAGTCCAGCTTATCAATTCTTTAGTTCATGGACCAAGCCCTTGGTGCTGTACTGAAAAAGTCACTGCCATACCCAAAGTCACTGAGGTTTTCTCCTGCATTATTTTGTGGGAGTTTTATAGTTTTGAATTTTACATTTATGTCTGTGATCCATTTTGAGTTAATTTTTGTGTAGTGAGTAAAGTCTGTGCCTAGATTTTTTTTTTCCATGTGGACATCCAGTAGTTCCAGCAGGATTTGTTGAAAAGACTATCTTAGCTCCATTGAATTGCCTTTGCTCATTTGTCAAAGATCGGCTAACCACAATTATGTGGGTCTATTTTTGGGCTCTCTGTTCTGTTCCATTGATTTATTTCTACTCTTCCAGTAGTATCATGCTGCCCTACTCAGGGTAGCTTTATTGAAGCTAAAATACTTTCTAGAAGTTGGGGAATGTTAGTCCTCCAACTTTGTTCTTCTCATTCAATTGTGTTCATTATTTTGGTTTCCTCTCCATTTAACTATGGAATCATTTTGTTGATATGCATAAAATATCTTGCTGGGATTTTGACTGGGATTGCATTGAATCTATAGCTCAAGTTGAGAAGAACTGACATCTTGACAATATTAAGTTAGTCACAAATATGGAAATCACTCCATTTATTTAGCTCTACTTTGATTTCTTTCATCAGTGTTGTGTGGTTTTCCTTGTATGTATCTTTTACATATTTGTTAGATTTATACTTAAATATTTCATTTTGGGTGGTGCTAATATAAACAGTATTTTGTTTTTAATTGCAAATCTCACTTGTTCATTGCTGGTATATGGGAAAATGATTAGCTTTTGTATATTAATCTTGTATCCTGAAACCTTGCTATAATTATTTACAGTTCCAGGAGCTTTTTGTTTGTATTATTGTTGATTCTTTTAATTTTCTACATAGATGATTGTGTCATCTGTGAACAAATACAGTTTTATTTCTTGCTTACCAATCTGTATACCTTTATTCTCTTTTCTTGTTGCATTATTTTAGCAAGGACTTCCAATATAATGTTGAAAAGAAGACGTGAGAGGGGATATCTTGACCTCAACTTATTATTAGTGGGAAAGTTTCAAGTTTGTCGCCATTAAGATGATGTTTGCTGTAGGTTTTTTGGAGATATTCTTTATCAAGTTTAGGAAGTGCCCCTCTATCCTGAACTTGCAGAAAGTTTTTTCTTTTATCATAAATGGGTTTTAGAATTTGGTAAATGCTTTTCCTTCATCTTTTGACATGACTATGTGATTTTTCTTTGTTAGCCTATTGATGTAATGGGTTACATGGATCAATTTTCAATTGTTGAACTGGCCTTACACACCTGTCATAAATACCACTTGGTTATGGTGTGAATAATTCTTTTTATACATT